GCCGGGGCGCCGACTCTACCAGCCCGTCCGCACCCGGGCCGCCGGTCGGACGTGGGCCGCGGGCCCGGAGTCCACGTTCCCCCCGGGCGCCGCTCGGCCACTTCCGGAGGCCCCTGTCTGTGCCCTCAGCGAGCTGATGGGCCGGGGGAAGCTTTTCAAACGTTTGAGTTACGCGAAAGGTTCAGGGTCTAACTAAGGTATTGTCCCTGTATTCAGTCGGTGGTTACACAGATCAATTTTATCCAGTTACTTTTTTTTTTTTACGTTTTTGTAATTGGGGTGAATATGTAGGTAGCATTTGCCCGTTCTGCAGTCTTAAATGCTCATCGTGTTCTTCCCCGTCACGTTAACCGGTCCTGAGTTTTTCCATCACCTTTAACAGCTCAGTGCCCTCTTGTCCAGGTGATTTTGACTACAGAGTAGGAAACGTGGGTCACATCTGGACCTGAAATTACGAGTTACACCACCCGCTTCTGAAACCTCCTTTTGCATACACAAGGCTCCCCTTGCCCGTGGGACGGCTGGTGGCTGTGTGTGGCAGAGTCCAAAATGGGTAAAAAGAAAAATAAATTTCATTTTCCCCAGGTTTGGTTCCTGTTCATTGTAGAGAACTTGGAAAATACAGAAAATAGTAAAACCTTGATTAGTGTCCTGTTGCCATCAGCTGTCCTCACCTCTGCAGGCATGAGGGTGCCTGTAGTACGGGAGCCTGGATTGGGGGTTCTTGTGTTCACGGATGAGATTTTCAGGGCAGCCACGTGATGTATGGTGGACATGAATGGATCGAGGCAAAAACACGGAAGGGCACCTGTAACTTCCTCTCTTTTCTGCTTTCTCATGGTGACTTAAGAAATGGCAGTAATTCCTCCTTGGTGACCCCGGAAGAGGACTGTCTGTTTAGCCAGGAGAGTGAACAAGCGTGTTTGGCTGTTTAAATACAGTACGTGGAGACCGCCATCAGCTCGGGTTCCAAACTGCTAGGCTTGCTACCAAAAAAAAAACAAACCCAACCCGTTGCTGTCAAGTTGATTCTGACTCAGAGCTACCCCCTAGGACAGAGTAGAACTGCCCCATAGGGGTTCTAAGGAGACGCTGGTGGATTCAAACTGCCAACCTAAAGCTCTTAACCACTGTGCCACCAGGACCCCAGGCTTGCTACTAAAATAAATAAATAAACCTGTTGCCGTCGAGTCGTTTCTGACTCATAGTGACCCTACAGGACAGCGTTGAACTGCAGTATAGGGTTTCCAAGGAGCGACTGGTGGATTTGAACTGCTGACCTTTTGATTAACAGCCCGAGCTCTTAACACTGTGCCACCAGGGCTCCAGGCTTGCTCCAGTGGGCCCTAAATTCATCAGACGAAAGCTGCTGCACCTTGTTGGGGTGTGAGGATGGCACGCCCGCCGCCTGTACAACAGACCCTCTGGGTGGTGACGTTACTGTGGTAGAGAGTGCAGGAAAGTGGGTGCACATTTGCCTGCTCCGTTTTTCCCGTTCGTGACAGAGCCCTTGTCTGTGGGGTTCCTTGTGGGCCTAGGGGGCGCTCAGTAGGGCTCGGCTGAGCTTCGAGTTTGTTTCCGTGTCTGGCATTGAAGGGCCAGTAACTGCCTTCCTAGGGCGGTGCCAGGAGGGCAGCTGGGGGATGCTTTTGTTCTTTTTAAAAGCCTCTAGACCCAAGTGCTCACTTTTTTTTTTAAATGAATATTAACAACTTTGTAAAAAGCTCGCACATTCACGGATGTATATTTATAAAGTTTACGTAGCTGTCAATAATGCATTGTTGTGTGATCTGCATTTTGTGAAGTGAAGGTTCTTAACTGTGGGGCCACACCCTCTGAAAATATAATGAAAGCTTTGGAACCTGTTCCCAGAGCAGTGTTGTGAACAGGCACGGTGGAGTCAGCTCTGGCTCATCTCATAACGACCTCATATGTAACAGAACGGAACATTGCCAGGTCTGCGCCCTTCTCACAGAACAGTGTCCCGCCCCCCCCCCCTTGTGTTTAGTTTAAGGGTCTGGAACCTGAGGCCTCTCTTTTGACCTCAGGCGCAAACCATAGTTGTTGTTTTATCGTTTAAAGCACAGTTTTTAGACAGCTTTATTGGGGTATAACTTTGTGCAATAAAATGCACCCGTTGGAAGTAGCTGGTGTAGTCAGATGCATACACCTGTGTAAACACTGCCAAAGCCTACTTTTTTAGCCTGTTATTTCGCAAGTATCCCAGACAGGACGGTGCAGGGTCAGTGGACAGAGCCCTGGGAAGCCTTCACCCAGCTCCTCTAGCAGTGGCATTGTGTGTGGCCTGGCGTGGCGTCAGAACCAGGAAACCGACGCGGGCACCGTGCCGTGGGCAGACCGCGGACCTAGCCGAGTTTACCCGTCTTTAACCTGCCTTCGGGGGCTCGCCGCATGCAGGTCTGTGCAGTTGTATAAGGTGTGCTCTTGTAACCGCCACACAGCCGAGACAGAACCGTTCCATCCTCACAAAGCTCCCCCGGAGCTGCCTGGAGTCGCGCCGCACGCTGCATCCTGCGCCTGGCAGCCACTCATCTGGTTTCCAGCTCTGTGGTTTCGTCATCAGAGCTCGTGTTGATAATAGTAATTTGCCAAGGAAACTTACTGAACCAGCTGATCCTCCGCAGGTGACCTGATGTTTGCCGTGCGTCACACCATCGGCAGTTTGTGTAGGTAAATTGTTGTTGATTGGCTCCCGGCCCCGAACACCAGTCAACGGCGTGGCCAACGGGACCCCAGGGAAAGCCCTAGTGCATCTTAGAATCACAGCTCGGCCACCAGAGAAGGAGCTCATGTGTCATGAGAGAAAAAGAAAACGCTCGTGCAGGATGTCCCTGTCGTGTCCCTCCCTCCGCCTCGCTCCTGCCCTGACAGATGGACCCAGAAAGCACGTTGTGTTTGTGTCACACACTCTCCCCCAGTCCTTGTCCACGCTTCTCGGTTGTGAAGGACCACGCTCGAGCCGTGTCACTGTATCATTGTGCAACCTCTGCTTCTCTGCCAGACTTTGGTGGCGGGAGAGGAAGCGCGCATGAGATGCTTCGCGTCCTGAGTTGGGAGGGAAGTTCTTGGCTCTGGCTAAGCGCTTCTTTGGTGCCGTCATGGACTTTGGATGGGACCAGGCTGCTCTGCTCCCTTCTTGTTGATATTAGCTGCTGTCGGGTCAGCCCCGACTCACGGCCGCTCCATGCACAGTGACATCTGGCGCCAGCCCCATGATGGGTTGTGGATAGGACTGTTGTGGTCCACAAGGTTTTCACTGGCTGATTTTTGGAAGTTGATCGCCAGGCCTTTCTTCCTAGTCTGTCTTAGTCTGGAAACCACACTGAAACATGGTCGGCATTATAGCAACACGCAAGCCTCTGATGACAGATGGGTGGTGGCTGTCTATGAGGTGCACTGGTCAGGAATCAGACTCCAGTCTCCCGTGTAGCAGGCCAGAATTCTACCACGAAACCGCCACTGCCCCCCACTCACCTGTACTGCCTTCAAATTCCCCCCCCAGCCATCGATGAGTACAAGCCTCAGGATGCCACCACAAACCCCTCCCTGATCCTGGCCGCTGCGCAGATGCCTGCCTACCAGGACCTGGTGGAGGAGGCCATGGCCTACGGGAAGCAGCTGGGCGGGTGAGTGCCAGGGGCCTCGGCAGGCGTCCCCCTGAGGGGCCTCTGGTCTGGTCCAGGTGGCCTGGCTTCCCTGCCCTAACTGAATCTTACTTCTTAAGTGCCTTGAACTCAAGGAAAGAAAACTTGGTTTTCTACATTTATTCTTATGCACCTATTGAAGCTTTATTTACTTGTGGTAAACTGCACTCCCCACTGAGTCAAGTCCAGGTTGTGGCAGCCCCCTCCCCCGACGTGTGGCCCCGACCTGGGGTCTTGTTGAGCCCCTTCTCTCCCCCTGCATCCCCACCGTGGCCACCTGCGCTTCCTCCCCATGTTCTGAATTGGGAGATGGTGGGGTAACCAGTCACCCAGCAGCCACTGCCCTCGCATCCAGAGGGCTCTGTGTTCCCAACGCCATGCGCAGGCTGATGGGGACCCGCTAGCAGCAGCTCCTCGCGGAGCAGCGCGGTCACCTGCCGCCAGCCGCAGGCAGCGTGGGCGAGGCTGGAGAGCGTTTGGCAGGTGCTGATGGAAGGAAGGAGTGTGGGAAGGCACACAGCAATCTGTTTTGTAGAATCCTGTGCCTAAAATAAACCCAAGCGACTTTTAACCTAGGTTTTCTTTTTCCCGCCTTGAATTTCAGGTCACAAGAGGAAAAGATTAAAAATACCGTTGACAAACTTTTCGTGTTGTTTGGAGCAGAAATACTAAAGAAAATCCCTGGCCGTGTGTCAACGGAAGTAGATGCAAGGTATGGGAGCTTCTCCCTGCTCGGCTGGGCCAGGAGGGTGGTCCACGCAGACCCTGAGGCCCCACTCAGTCCATAGGTGTAGTCATGGCGAGTCCCCTCGCCGGCCTCCACGCAGTCGGTGCCCACGGCCTGGGTGCTTCCCGCGTGGGGCCGAGCTCCTGTCTGTCTTTGGCGGAAAGCATCACAGCCTGTGAGCCCCGGGCCGACTCCTCCCGCGGTTCCCATGTGGATGCCTGTGGGGTGTCACGAAGCATCCGTCTTCCCCAGGCTCTCCTTTGACAAGGACGCGATGGTGGCCCGAGCCCGGCACCTCATCGAGCTCTATAAAGAAGCCGGCATCAGCAAGGACCGGGTCCTCATAAAGCTGTCCTCCACATGGGAGGGAATTCAGGCTGGAAAGTAAGTGTTTCCTGCAGAACACTGTGGAGGGCGGGGCTGCGGGGCTGCCGGCGAGTTTGATTCTGTCAGCCCTGCCGGCAGTGGCCAGGGGGTGGGGGTGGGGGAGGGTGCGTGTGCCCACAGTTCAGACGGGGCCACTGGGTGCGTGGGATGTGGGGGGGAGCAGTGCCCACGGTTCGGACCCGGCTACTGGGTGTGGGGTGCGGGGAGCTGTGTTCATGGCTGAGACGGGGTGCAGGTTGTGGGGGGCTGTGCTCGCGGCTGAGATGGGGTGCAGGGCAGGGGGGCTGTGCTTATGGCTGACATGGGCTGCAGGGCAGAGCTGACTTAGAGCCAGGTCTGCCCCCTGGGCCAGGGCAGGCCCCTCACTTGCTGCTGTTAAAAAACACTCTTTCCCAAGAAGTGCCACTTCACTCCTTCCAGAAGGAAAGAGGGTCCTCAAGGAAGACACCAGCAGGCTTTCCCCATGCGTCAATCTTCCCGTCCTTGTCAGTGCGGGCTGCACGTTTTAGGTGGATTTATTTTACACAAAATACATGCTCAGAAAGGTCCCCGGTGGTGTGAACGGTTTGCACTCGCCTGGTAACCAGAAGGTTGGCGGTGTGAGCCCAGCTGACGATCTGCTTCTGGAAGGATTACAGCCCACAGAGTCCCGCGGAGCAGCTCTCTGTGCCACACGGGGTCTCTCCTAAATCACAAACTAACAAGCCAAACAAAACCAACCGCAAAATATACGCTCAGTTTGGAACAGATAGAAAAATGGGAAAAACCAAGTAAGGGTCACCTGTGGGCTTCCCGCCACAAGCCGCGGGTGTTGTGACGTCGGTGAGCGGGCGCTGTGTGTGCCCCCGCCCCTGGCAGCCACCAGTCTGCTTTCTGTTCCTGGGGATTTGCACAGGACTTGTCGTCACTCAGCACGGTGTTTTCAAGGCTTGCCCGTCATAGCGTGTGTCAGGACCTCGCTCCTTCTTGTGAGCGACTCCCAGTCAGTCTGTGGTGGACACAGCTGATTCCCCTCTTGCCCAGTGTGCACCGTGCAGCTGGAAACTCGTGTGTAGGCTTTGGGTGGACGTGGATTTTCACTGGGCTCCCAGGGAAGACTTCCTGGCTGATTGGACTGAGCAGAAGCTTGGAAATCATTGTCCAGTTAGCATCTCACCCCCAGCTACGTGACAGAGATGTGGCATTGCCCTTAACTCAGGGACCCACCTCAGGATGTCGAGGTGGACTGCACAAAGTTTCAATGGGAGGGTAGAGGGAGGGGCCCAGCACAGCCTCAGGGCTCCTGCCTTCACCTCTGGGCAGAGCAGGAGACGGGGCACAGGTGGGGTGGGGGGGGGAGGCCAGGAGGTGGCGTACAGATAGGACAGGAGATGGGGTGCAGGCGGGAGGCCAAGAGGTGGGGTACAGACAGGACAGGAGGCAGGGTGCAGGCGGGGTGGGGGGAGACAGGAGGTGGGCTGCAGGCAGGAGGTGAGGAGCAAGAGGGAGAACATAGGTGGGGGCGGAGGAGGGCACACGGCTCCAGGTGCTGGCGCAGGTATCTGGCCGGGGACTTTGAGGAAGAACATCTTGGTCACCGTAGCCCACTACCCGCTTATGTTAGACTGTGACTGCGTGTCCGCGTTGCTGACGCCCGCCCTGTCCCCTCAGGGAGCTCGAGGAGCAGCACGGCATCCACTGCAACATGACACTGCTCTTCTCCTTCGCCCAGGCCGTGGCCTGTGCTGAGGCGGGCGTGACACTCATCTCCCCCTTCGTCGGCCGCATCCTGGACTGGCACGTGGCGAACACGGACAAGAAGACCTACGAGCCCCTGGAGGACCCTGGTGCATCTGCCTTCCAGGAGGGGGCCCCGTGCCAGGGCCAGGCCGGGCAGCGGGGGGGTCTGCCTCGGCTTCCTGGCTGACAGCTGTTGTGTCCTGCAGGGGTGAAGAGTGTCACCAAAATCTACAACTACTACAAGAAGTTCGGCTACAAGACCATCGTCATGGGCGCCTCCTTCCGCAGCACGGATGAGGTCAAGGCACTGGCCGGCTGTGACTTCCTCACCGTCTCACCCAAGCTGCTGGGGGAGCTGCTCAAGGACACCAGCAAGCTGGTACCCACACTCTCCGCCAAGGCTGGTAAGCGCCGCCTCCCCGCCCCGCGGAGCATTCTGGAAGGGGAGGCCTGAGGGCCTGTGGTGGTCCTCTGTGGGCTCCGAGTGCAGTGGCCCTACAGCAGGGGACGGTGATGGATGACGGGGTCAGCACAGCTGCCCGTGGGGGTTCCAGGCCATGGGGTGGGCAGGCACGGCGCAGAGAAAGCCAGGCAGGGAACGTGAGGCTGTGCATCCCCCAGCCCAGGCCAGCGACTTGGAGAAGGTGCACCTGGATGAGAAGGCCTTCCGCTGGCTGCACAACGAGGACCAGATGGCCGTGGAGAAGCTCTCAGACGGGATCCGCCGGTTCGCAGCGGATGCCGTGAAGCTGGAGCGGATGCTCACGGTGCGTGCGCGCGTCTGTCCCTGGCGCCTACAGGGCCCCTAGGCTTTCCTGGCTCCTCCACGGCAGCCTGCCCTGGTGGATACCCTGTGAGGTTGCCCAGGGGCCCCCTTCTCCCGTGGGTGGCGTCTTTCTCCCGTGGGTGGCGTCCTCTTCCCGCAGGTGGCCCCACTCAGGCAGAGAGCCGGGGCATCTGCCTGCTGCCTCACGCTGTCTTCTCTTCCAGGAGCACATGTTCAGCGCTGAGAATGGGAAGTAGAGCGGGCGCCAGGCCGGACCGCAGACCTACGCGTCTTTGAGTTGCTCACGCCTTGCAGTGAAGAATCTTGCATTTTGTACCAGTTGGAGCAGGGATGGATCATAGTTTTGATTTTTATGTAAAATTTTACCTGATGCATTAAAGCTGTCATTTTCCTGTACTGTGTTTTGATTCTGCCCCACATGGCGCCCCCACACTGAGGGGTAAACCGGGAGAGCCCTGCTGGGTGGGGACCTGCCCTGGTGCATCCTTTAGGCCGGGTCCCCAGGCCTGTGTGGCCTGTTAGCAGGTATGTGGGAGTTTGCCTTTGACACCAGGGTGCCTCAGCCAGTGTGGGTCATCTTCTGCGTTGCCCAGGACAAGCAATGTGGGGCCTCTGGTTCTGGATCCCCAGACCCTCCTTGTTCCTGAGGGGCAGCTCAGCCCAGATCAGCCTTCAGGCCCCAGCCTGTGGCCCCTGCCAAGGCTGCCAGGCAGAGGGGCAGCCATGGCCCTGGGCAACGGGCACAAGGCCTGTCACAGACACCACCCTGAGGTCCATTCCTGAGCTGCAGGGGACTGGTGGGCAGGGGCTCCACCTCAGGGGGAGGGCCACGAGACCCGGACTCAGCTGCCTGTGTGGGAACCGCGCGTCCCTGATGCCCTTCTGAGCACAGAAGAGCCTTGTGAACCAGTAATCCTGCTGCGACACGTCTAACCTGCATGGGACGTGCTG